CCACTGTTCAAAAGAATGTCCCAACACAGACGAGCTACATCTAATGGCCAGAACTCTGCAGTGTTGTACAGTTGATGTGATTTTGCGGGATGTGCCATATGATGAGTGGATGTTGTGAAGCTCAGTTGCAGTAGTGTCGTGTGTATGACGACCTTTAAACCGTCTGCATCAATAAGGGCTCTGAATGAGTCTGAGCCAACTGTTGATAACAGGAGCATGTTTTCAACAACATACCTGCCTATCATTCTGTTCAGTTCAGTCTGAGTCACAAGTTTCTGTGAAGCTGGAGCAAAAAAATCCACCTTTAACTGCTTGGACGGCGTAGCTCCGCCTCCTTCTTTGTTAGCAGCGCTCCCGTTAGCCACACCTGGTTTGATATCAGTACTGTCAGCAGTGGTGTTTTTAGCCACCAGTTTTGTTGAACCATGTGCAGTTGTGAGATGCTTCATCAGATTAGAGTTGCTTACGACGGACGTGGACAAACACTTGGCTCCGGGACATAATGAACACTTCACATGCACCTTCTTGTCTTTACCTGAAGTAAGGTAGTGTCTGTATTTCCACTTTGAAAACACCAACTCTCCCTGCAGACTCAGCATTGCTGCAGCTTACTTCTACTAACTTCAGATTTGGAGCTGAAGCGTGTGGTTTGTGAGTGAACTGAACAACACAGCCTCTGATTGGCTTACCTCTACCTGTTACTCTGTCTTAGCCAATCATCATCATCCTGTAAGTGATTGTTTCACCCCTCCCTCCTACCCTCACCAAGGTAAAAAGTAAACAGCTTACGAGAGCCAGGGCGGAAGACCAAGTAACGTACCCCTTTTAGTAGTCGGTAACGGTAACGGCGTTGTAACGATAGACATAGTAACTACTCAGAGTACCCGTTAATGAAAAACATAACTCCGTTTGTAACGCCGTTTATTTGTACTTTGTTATTCCATCACTGCTCCTGAGTGTTTGAAATGTGGAATAAAGTGAATGTTGACTCGGAGTGAGACATCTTCCCTCAGAAACCATCTCTGATGTAACTCAGCTCCTCCTCTTCCTCAGGAGGAGAAGGCCAAGGCCTACAAGAAGGAGAAGCTGAAGGAGCGGAAGCGGCGAGCGGAGGATGATGTGGACTTGGAGGAAGACGAGGAGATGGCGGCGGTGATGGGCTTCTCTGGTTTCGGCTCGTCTAAGAAGAGTCACTGAGACTCGGGTCTGAAACTGCTGGTCCCTGCAGGACCGTGGACCAGGACCAGGCCTGATGTTCCGGTCAGGTCTCCTCCGTCCTGGTCCAGACTTGATTCCAGCTGGGCTCTTATTTTGACAGTTTTATTTATCACTTCCTTCGCTCACAGAATGAAGATTCTCTGAGTCCGTCTTTACTTCCTGTCTTCAGAAACAGGAAGTAGTTCTGCACGCTGGAGAACCTGGACCTGGACCCAAAGCTGCAGAACCTCTGTGTCTCAGCAGGGTCTGACGTGAATCCTGACTTCACCTTAGAAACGTTGTTTTGTTTCAGCGCACGGCATCATGGGAAATTTACCTTTAATAAACATTTTATTTCTCAACCTGGTCCTGATTTTATGTTTCTATAAACTCATGTTTTTATCTGTCAACACATGGAAGAACTGCTGGTGTGTGTGTGTGTGTGTGTGTGTGTGTGTGTGTGTGTGTGTGTGTGTGTGTGTGTGTGTGTGTGTGTGTGTGT